TATGTCCAAGAGAAAAAGATGTTTGATAAATTATCTAGGAAATTTATTTGAAATACCAAACCGTTTTTAAATATGTTACGTCTGCATTGTTTATAAAAGTTCGAATACACGCTATGTTTGGTATTATTATATATGGACAAGTCAAAATGTGCTGCTACTGTTCTGACATAATGAAATCAAATCTATAAGGTATCTGCTTTACTCCGAATGTGTCGTAATGCTGCCTTTATTGGCGGTTTTTGAGAAATCGCCCTTTTCAAAAACGATAATTTTTCGAAATTCCGAAAAGGATCCACAAGAGGGCGTCAAGTCATTTTTTGGCATTTTAAGATTTGCACACTAATTCCAAGTTTGATGAACGTACAGTTTTGTTGTATACCCAAGAGAAGAAAGTTTTGATGAATTTTCCAGTAAATTTAGTTGAAATACCAAACCGTTTTTAAATATGTCACATCTACATTTTTTAATAAAATTGAAAATATACGCTATGTTTGGAGTTATATATGGCCAAGTCAAAACGTGCTGCTATTGTTCTGACATATTAAAATCGAATCTATAAGGTATCTGCTTTTCTCCAAATGTGTCGTAATGCTGCCTTTATTGGCGGTTTTCGAGAAATCGCTATTTCAATAACGATAATTTTTTGAAATTTTGAAAATAATCCACAAAAGGACGTAAAATGCTTTTTGGTATTTTATACTTTCCGCAACTTATTCCAAGTATAATGAACGTACAGTATATATGTATGTCCAAGAAATGAAGATGTTTAATAACTTATCTAGTAAATTTAGTTGAAATACCAAGCGTTTTTTGAATATGTTACGTCTGCATTGTTTATAACTTTCTGAATACACGCTATGTTTGGTATTATATATGGCCAAGTCAAAACATGCTGCTACTGTTCTGACATAATGAAATCAAATATATAAGGTATCTGCTTTTCTCCGAATGTGTCGTGGTGCTGCCTTTATTGGCGGTTTTTGAGAAATCGCTATTTCAATTACGATGATTTTTTGAAATTTTGAAAACAATCCACAAGAGGACGTAAAATGCTTTTTGGTATTTTATACTTTCCGCAACCCATTCCAAGTTTAATGAACGTATAGTACATATGTATGTCCAAGAGAAAAAGATGTTTGATAAATTATCTAGGAAATTTATTTGAAATACCAAACCGTTTTTAAATATGTTACGTCTGCATTGTTTATAAAAGTTTGAATACACGCTATGTTTGGTATTATATATGGACAAGTCAAAATGTGCTGCTACTGTTCTGACATAATGAAATCAAATCTATAAGGTATCTGCTTTACTCCGAATTTGTCGTAGTGCTGCCTTTATTGGCGGTTTTTGAGAAATCGCCCTTTTCAAAAACGATAATTTTTCGAAATTCCGAAAAAAATCCACAAGAGGGCGTAAAATCATTTTTTGGTATTTTTAGATTTGCCACTTATTCCAAGTTTAATGAACGTATAGTATATATGTATGGCCAAGAGAGAAAAGTATTTGATGAATTATCCAGTAAATTTAGTTGAAATACCAATCCGTTTTTAAATATGTTACATCTACATAGTTAATAAAATTGAAAATTATATGCTATGTTTGGTATCATGTATTGCCAAGTTAAAACGTGCTGCTACTGTTCTGGCATATTAAAATCGAATCTATAGGGTATCTGCTTTTCTTCGAATGTGTCGTAGTGCTGCCTTTATTGGCGGTTTTTGAGAAATCGCCCTTTCAAAAACGATAATTTTGTGAAATTTATCAAAGAATCCACAAGAGGGCGTAAATTTTTTTTCCGTATTTCAGACTTTCCTCAACTTATTCTAAGTTTAATGAAGTGCATTATTGTTGTGTGACAAAGAGAAAAATATCTTCTTCGATGAACTATCCAGTAAATTTAGTTGAAATACAAAATCAGTTTTAAATTTGTTGTATATACATTGTTTTAAAAATTGAAGAATATACGCTATGTTTAGTATTATATATGGTCAAGTCAAAACGTGCTGCTACTGTTCTGACATATTGAAATCGAATCTTTGAGGTTTCTACTTTTCACCAATGGTGTTGCAATGCTGCCTTTATTGGAGGTTTTCATGAAACGACCATGTTACACGACGAAAATTCAGTCATTTTTAAACATCTCTCAAAGAATTATAAAAAAAATTTGTGCACTGTAACAGTCGCTTTAGCTTGTTTACTATATATTAACAACACGGGTAGTGTAGTTATTGATTGTTTTGCTTTAATTGCTATTGTGAAACTAATCAAAATATACACTTTCTTTTAAAAATCATTGGGAACATTTAATTTTACGCGTGGGTATTTTCTGCGATTCTGTCAGTCACAATTTCATGTTTTGCTGCTAGCTTCACAGTACCGGTACCGTCATTCGTCACATCATTGATACCGGTACCTTATCGATGGTCGCACGGACAGGATTTTGATCTGGATATTTGTGGATCCTACTTACCGAACGAAAGGAAGATGTATTTCAATTTGGTACCGCTGTCTAACACTCTCATTGATTGATTGACTCTGTCAATTCTGTAATTCAGGTTCTAGTTCAAGTGATTGTTTATTTTCTGATATCTGGATGTACCGGTACCGGTACGTTCCCATTGTTCGCAGATAACAGAACATCAATGCCAGGATAGGTAGGCTTCCCAACCTATAAACTGTTGTAGGATGTATGTTTATAGCCAGTACCGGTACAGCAGTAAGCCAGCAGTGTCAAATTCGGACTTGTCTGAAATGTTTATTCGAAAAAATAAAGACTGGTTTTTCCGCGCTCTGTTCAGTAAGTAGTAAGACCGGGTTTTGAGGCAATTACCAGACCAGACTTTTAGGGCAACTATCAGGAGTGGAAGTGGTGACTTCTCTATGGCCCATGGGCCGGGGCCACGGCTCATCGAATTGGGCCTCGGCCCATCAGTCTATGAAGGGACTATTCACTTGGCTAACACAGACAGTCCCCGAACTCATAATACTGTAATAGACCTATAATGTAAAAAATCTGAATAAAATTTTGTCCCAACCCTAACCTGGTACACATACTACAGGAGTATCCTTTCCTGTAGCTTGGTGTTTTGATTTATTTTTATATCGTAAGGCTTATCGTAATAAAAACATTTGGTGGCATCCCGCGATTTCTTTGATTTGAATATTGAGAATTTTGTAAAAATTGAAAATTTTGGTAAGATAATTGAATTTTTCCTGATGGGGCCGCGGCCCATAGCTTGATGGGCCATGGCCCATGTGGCCATGGTGTGTCGCAAGGGATAACGAAATTTCTGTTACGTAAAATATTCAATCCATGACCAATGGAGCATTTAACGTGACTCGTCGTTATAATGTCGTTACTCACGTTTGATTCGAGATTACTATTATGATTACTAAAATGAAAGAATACTATTCTAAAATAACATAAAATATGTCATAAACTGCCAACTATAAATAAATTGGGGTCGTATTTTTGCGATCTTGGGATTTGTCAAACTTGATTTGTTCTTTCGCACTTGAGATTATTTTTAAGCAAGATATCGCCGTTTAAAAAATCACAATGTCTGGGCAAAATACGAACAATTGAAAATTATTTTATTGCATTCAGCTCCGTCGGTAGTTTCAGAATGAAAAAAGGTACATCGCGGATCGCGCGCACAATTGATTGCGTGCGGCTGCGTCGGTAGTTTCAGAATAGGGAAAAACAGGTACATCGCGCGCACAACAAAGCTAACATAACACCAACTTTTGTGATTTACAATGTCTATAAAAGCGTTTTCAATCTGAAGTGAGTCTGCTGAAATCTGCTGTGTCTGCTGTGATCTTCCATTTTAAGTTTTAATATTTTAGAATGCGGTTTTTCAATCAAGAAATTTGAGTTGTGGATTTACCTCTTATTGATTATTATTTTTAGCATTTTGTCGCCGATGACTATAATATGGTAACATGTTTTTAACATTGAACTCATAATTCCCCATAAGAACAAAAAAGCAATTTTACGTCGTCATTGTGTAACAATACATGTATATGCCGAGGGAAATATTTGATTTAGGGAATAAACACCGGCGTAAAGATGTTTACATGCTGACGAAAAAAATCGGCGATTGTAACGAAATGAAATCGCGAACGTTATTAACGGCCTTTTATGTCTTCCAAAAATGTCAAAAGAGAAAAGATTCGACCCCTAATTTATTAATATGTTCGTCAAGTGTCAAATTTACAGCTTTAGTATGAAATTTAGATTTATTTATGACTTGTGTTAACCCTATTAAAAAAGGTTCAGCATTTAAAATAATTATAAAGTACATTTAACTTGCCCAGGAATATTAATCTGAAAGTAACAATTTTAACATTTATTTTGGGGCTCCGCGAATAATATTCAACCTTTTAAGGGCTCCGCAACATCAAAAGTTTGAGAACCCCTGATCTAGACCACCACAGTCAGACAGTCTAGTACTCAATTTAGAGAAGGCTATACCTATCTTTGTGTAGCCCATACTGCCATATCTTATACCAGTATACGACTTTCCGTAAACTCCATAAATCATAATACAACCAAACATTTCAATTATCTTTCTTTATTTTATTAGCTCTGAATAAATATCACAAGTAGCTTGTCTACAAAATAGGATAGGATTTACATATTTATCCCGAGGGAGAAGAATATCATATCTATACCTTGAAAGTAGTAAATTTTGTTACTGTATTAGCGTCTTTCTAGACTGTCCCTATACCTACAGTACATAATCTGAGATGTTCAATTCACTATGCTAGTGGCAATTTTTATAGGCCTTTCCCAAACTTCTCAAAATTAAAAAACTTCTATTTAAGATTATTATTCATACAGTGAAGTTGATGTCCAAAGTTTATAAATTTGAGCTATAAGAATATATATACATATCTCACTCCTCAGTACATATGACACATTTTCAACATTTTTTTAGCAGAATAAAATATTAAGAATTGCTCACAATATTCTATAGTGAAATTTATATTTTTTATCTAAAATTCTCAGAAATATTCCTTATAGTAATAATGTCTGCCCTTACTGCTAAACGGCAATCTCAGATGGGAGCTCTTGTTCCAGCAAAAAAAGCAAAACAAGAACTTGCTTTGACAAACTCCTCCAATTCCGGAGCACTTGTGCAAAAAGGGCCACCAAGAACTTCTGGATTACTTGCTCCAATTATGCTACTTACAGGACACGAGGGGGAAATTTGTTGTGCAAAGTTTCATCCTGAAGGAGAATTACTTGCATCTGCCGGTTATGAACGACTTATATTTTTATGGACTGTGTATGGGGAATGTGATAACTATCATGTTATAAAAGGAGGACACAAAGGCGCTATTGTAGAACTTCAGTTCAATACAGATGGGAAGTATATTTTTACAGCAAGCACTGATAAAACAGTTGGCATGTTTGATTCAGAGACCGGAGAAAAAATCAAAAGAATGAAAGGTCACGATTCTATTGTTAACTCATGTGCATCGTCAAGACGTGGTGATCAGCTTGTCGCATCAGGGAGTGATGATTGTACAGTAAAAGTATGGGATGTGAGAAGAAAAGGTGCTGTCAAATCATTACAATCAACTTATCAGGTTACTTCTGTGACATTCAATGACACAGCGCAGCAAATTATGTCTGGTGGAATTGACAACGATATAAAAGTTTGGGATATAAGAAATGAAAAATCATCTATGTCTTTGAGAGGTCATAAGGATACAATAACTGGACTGAGTTTGAGTGCAGATGGTTCTTTTTTACTTTCTAATTCAATGGACAATACATTGAGAATGTGGGATGTTAGGCCTTATGCTCCACAAGAACGCTGCATGAGAATATTTTCAGGTCATCAACATAATTTTGAAATGAATCTTTTGAGGTGTAGCTGGTCACCAGATGGTAGTCGAATTGCAGCTGGATCTGCGAAATAGATTTGTTCATGTATGGGATGCCAGGTCATCTCAGCTTTTATACAAATTAACACCTGGCCATGCTGGATGTGTAAATGAGGTTTCATTTCATCCCAAAGAACCAATCATCATGTCCTGCTCCATGGATAAACAAATTTATCTTGGTGAATTGCAATGAGTGAAAAGGCTCTTTGGCATTCTGATATATTGGTATTCTATTACACTACTAATATTATGACTGACTGAGTGTAGTGGGAAAATGCATCATTACCATCTGCGGTTAGAATATTTACGTAACTTATGGACTGCAAGCCACGTTCATGCATTAAATTTGCAAAATATTTCTAAGACTTGAACTTGATTTTGCATATATTAATTCAAACTTATAAAATATTTGGGGTGGAAAAGGCTTCTAAATGTGGTATTTGAATATAATCTCTAACAGTCTTCAGTTTTGTCAGTCACCTTCAATTTTCATTTCCAGGGTCCTTAATTTATTGCTGTTAATAATAAGCTATCAATGGACTGGTAACCAGATGAGAGGCCATGGTACGCTATATGATTAAGTCCAAGTCGCTTCTTGTCGGCTAAATATTTTTTACCCAATCATAATGAAATTTGTAGATTTTTGTTATTCAATTGTAGTTATCCTACCACATAGCATTTAGATATGTATTTCTTTACCTTCCAATGCATGGTACGGTGAATACATAAAACAGGTCAAATAACGGCCTAACTAATTCCACACCTGACATGGACTGGTAATTGAACGACAGGCCATTCCTAACCATATGATGAAGTCGTCGTATCGACCTTCCTCTTCCTGGTGTACATCCTATCCTAACAACGGAACTTGGAAAATGAATGCTATTTGTTCGTACCCCACATAGATGATATCTTTTCAGTTTTCATGACCAAAATTACAAAAAATGCAAATTGATGCTTTTAAATGTCTTAAATTCTTCCATGAAGGTGCTTATGTCATTTCATAGAAAATAGTGTCAAATCAATTTTATATCTGGTATTTACCAATAGGTGACCGTACATTTGAACCCATGTACATTTGAACCCATGCGTATATCCACAGGTTCAATCTATATGTGGGTGCTAAAACCCATGGGTTAGGGTTAGTATGGGTTTAACTATCCGTGAAACAAAAATTCCATAGGTGCAATAGCATACAGGTGAAATTGTCATGGGTTCAAATGTACGTGGGTTCAAATGTAATGGAACCTTGCCAATATCATGTGTGAGATGTTAATATATACTGATGATCAATTTTGATGGTTGTTGGCTTATTGCCATTCGTTTAACTGATATGGAAATTTGTCAACATCTATTGACTGTAGTAGATAATCAGTGTGCACTGACCAACAATCATACATTGAAATGTGGATGAATAAATCAGTCAATTTATATAAAATTGTCCTAATGTTTGAGAAGTTAAATATTTGCTTCTGACATTGCCGAGATGTACATAACTACATTTTTAGAACTTTTGCTTAAACAAATAATCCTTGTTTTTATTGGTAAGATTTTCAACAATAAAAAATTAGGAATGTCTTAAATATTTGTGGAGTTGGAGGGAAGTCTTCAAATGTCTTGACTCTTGACTTTTTTGACCAACGGTTGAAGAATGATTTTCGGAAGACTTAGTTGGAAAGAGATGACATTCGTTGTATAATAAGTGACGCTTGAAATTAGTTTTTCATATGAAAAATATTTTGCAATAGTTTCCTTGTTCCAATGATTCAAATGATGCTGCAGAAAAGCCCATAAATAGGTCAACACTTCTTACTATCTGTTCAACTCAGTGACGTCATCCAATACTTGTTTTCCCTTAAAATAAAATTATTCTACTGGCCTGATTACTTAGTTATAAATACCATCAGGGAATAGCTCAATGACATGACAAACGAGAGAGTCATGTTCAAAATTATAGGCGTGAAACTTCACAACTAATGCAAACGTGACCGCCATCACCTTGCCAAATTTTCAAAAACGTAATCGCACACAAAATTTTTTGAAATAAATAAAATTATTAGCTTTCTAGCGGAACATACATTCTATAACCATTGAAAGATTGCAAGTGTTTCATTTTTCACAACAAGAGGAATAAAAAGAAAAGGAATACTATCAACAATAAATTAATAACAGAACGATGCATAGGCCAATTCCGTGTCCAATAATTCTAGTATATATAGAATGTAATATATATGAACATTCCTCTATCGGATAATATTGGGAGCCGTGAACATTTGGCGAGTTACAAAGTCCTCAGCTTTGTTTATAATAATAATAATACGGACCTACAAGAAAACGAGGTTCAAAAACTCCCTTTTCCCGTTCACTATCTTGCGAATAGACTATATAAATTTATGGTTTTCGACTCAGGATTAATTGTTTTTGTGCGGCTTACGATCGGTTAGTTTCCTTTTGACGTTGAAATTAGTTTTAATTTCTCTAACTTCGAGTGAAAATCAGATGCTATTCATCCACCCCCTTTAAAACATAGATATTCACGAAAAAAATGGGTGAAAGTCCCGGGAAAAAATTAATACAAGGTTTGAAACAAGCTTAATTATATGCCATGCCCAGTAATCTATTAACCACAGCAAGTTGGGCTATTAGCGATTTCACTGCCATCTACAATTTGCATGCTATTTGATCTTGATTTCCTCATCTAAATTATCAGTTCAGGATTTACGAAATAAATGTGTTAACAAATGCCACCCAAACTGAGTTGATCTCAAAACTTTAAGTTACACATGGAGACAGTTATGGTCAAACAATTTTAGAAGGCTCATGATTCGCGATAAAATGCAGTATAAAACCGTATGAAACCACCCAGGGCCGGATTTACCATTGTGCAAGGTCGGCTGAGGCTATAGGGGCCTAAACATTCAAACTGGAATTATTATTGATTTTAGGTCGTTTTTAAATTGTAAAGGCTTGTTCAAGAATACAACCAGTTAGAAATTTCATAAAACTGATATATATATATGTTTAACATTTTCATCAGGTCAATTATTCTCGTCGAAAATATTCACCGTTAAAAGGATTAAAGACGGTCGAGCAATGAGGATTACCTCTTTGACCCTAAAATCAAGCTAGTTTTCACCGTATTTATTTGAAAAAGATAAGAAAATACTGATATATAGCTATAGTAACTTAAATAAGTAACAACAAATCTAATAATTCTTGTCTTTATTTATCAGTAATTGGGCCATGACCTAACCTCTCGTGGATACAAACGGATTTGTTGGTGTCATGTCGTTTTCTTGCAGCCTTGAGTGTTTTGAAGTTTTTTTAAATTTAACATACTCAGGTGATTATCGTGTCGTAACTGGAATTTTGTATTTAACTCAATTTGATCATTTATTTATGACGCCATAATGTATTTTACAAATCATTACCGTCTAGGACAGAGATGGGCAACCTCTGGCACGCGTGCCAAGTTTGGCACGCGAGCCCATTCATTCGGCACGCGAGCGAGGCCTCGGAAACGAGATCATTCACCTTCAGATGAAAAGTTTCAAGACTCTGAATTATCTGATGAAACTCGGTGTTCGATTATTCATTATCGTCTGTTAACAATCTGTTATTTGTTTTTGTCTCTTTTTGTCCTTTCATGACGCCTGGCTACAAAGAAATATGTTATGACGTAACAAATGAGTAGTGAGCTTTCGAGAAAAGCGCTGCATTCATTTTGCTACATTCTTAGTTAATATAGTTCGTCTGTGCCACCTTTTTCCTTCAATTATGCTTGATTTATGAAGTCGTAAAGCTCATGTTGGCTAGAGTTTACTGCTATAAATGGATTTGGAAAAAAATATAAGCGATTAGGGAAGGGAATACAAGAGAGGAGTGCAGAAAACGAATCCCGATAATTTTTCGTGTCCTAACTCCATGTTTTTATCTATATATGCTTATGAATCTCTGTTCTCGGTTATGAACTTTATCAAGTCTCGTATTAGGAGTAGCCTGAAAGATGAAACCAGTAGTTAGTGTATTTCTCAGGAAGTTATAAAATATAAACCCAATGTAAAATCTCTATCAGCGGTAATGCAGCAGCAGAAGTCTCACTGATATAGAATAAGAAAAGTAATCAAATCTATTTGTCGGACTGATATTTTCCCGATTAATGAGTCTGTCTGTACAAGTTTGAAAGGTTTATTATATTGTATCTCTTCTTTGATAGTGACGAAGCATTGTTTTCAATTCTGGTTGGCACGCGAAATAATTTGTCGTTAAATTTAGCCGATCTTGGCACGCGAGCCAAAAAAGGTTGCCCACCCCTGGTCTAGGATGACGTAATAGTGGATTATTCATTGTTAAAAGAGGCGAGTGGGATAGCCTAGGATAGGGCATGGGTAAGCATGATAACATCGTTCAAATTCAGTGACAAAATTCTTCCACGTGGCAACCATACTTTTACTACAATATTTTTAAATGTATATTTGGAGAGCCTTGAACTATTTTCATCAGTCAGTCTACGCCTATTGCGGGACTTAATGAGGTATCACAAGCTATGTAGATGAAAGCCTGGAGAGTAATGCCATTTACAGGAATGGAATTCCAAGCCCGCAACAGTTCGTTTTCTGTACTTCTGATTATTTTACTCCGTGGGCCGGATCTGACCCGCGGGCCGTAGGTTGCCGACCCCTGGTCTAAATGTAGTCCTGGGACCACCATTTTAAACACACGTTGTATACCCCCTCTTTTGAAGCCAATTACCGAACGTAGAGTTTACAACATGACCATGATGTGCTGTATCATTAATTTATCGTTGGAAAGATATCAAAAAAATGAAGACTAGAATGAAGCGAGAGCATCGACTGACATTCTCGTACTTGACTCGCCTACGCATGGACTTCCTAACCCTAACCCAATTGTCCTTGGTTGGCAAATAAAATGCCGGACCTATGTACACCGCCTCTTAGGGACTTTCCGTGCAAAGCAGCTTTAACAAGGTTTTGAATTTATCCATATATTATTGGTTACAGACGTAGCAAATTTGTATTGAAAACTTCTAGAACGTATACAAGACGAGTGGGAATTCGATGAAGATAAAATACTGCGGTTTAGGCCATTTATGTCTAATCTAATTTCACTCCGTCTTCATGCAATATGAAATTTAAAATGAAGGCTCTCAAATGTCCCTCTTGAGATCAGCGCCCCAAATTTTCCATTTAACACCGATGCCGCACTCGCGGTAAACTCGCACAGAGAGTCAAAATCAAAATCCACGAAGCAAATATCTTCAGAACATTTTTATTTCAAAAATTTCCACATGAGCTCGAATAGCAGAAACTTACCAGTACATAGCATTTCAGAATTCAAAACTATCTGACAAAGCACACATATGTCAAATCAATTTCAACCAAATGAACGTTAACAATGAAGCACGATCCGACAAATATAGTGACATGATTTAGTACAGACCATTAATGGCATGATAATCCATTTGGATTTACCATTAATTTGACTACATATTCGTCTTCGATGTGAAAAAATAATAGAAATAGAAAATGATACAACAATGACTCAATGTTGTCAATCGGGATCAGCATAGGGTGATACCCGGATGATAGTTTTATTCTGGTGCGATGAAAACTCGATCCGAGGACCGGACGAGTAACAAAAAGATTTGAGAGGAAAGAAAAATGATACATACCCCAAAATCGAAGCTTAATATGAAAATAAAGTAGCAAATAATGTTTTCTTCGTGTTTTATACACAATTATAGAACAATATAATAATAATATCATAACAACAATATTCACAATAATATAAAAAAAATATGATAGATTTTTTAAATTTAAACGCATAGGCCGCAGCACCTGTTCAAAAAAGAATACGAAAAATAAAGTAATAAGCATTTGTCATGACAGACCCAAGTGTTGGGCGGGATGTAATTATGAAACCGCAAATTACTGTGCCACCTTCGATTAGTACAAGAAAGACAGTTGTCAAGCTATGGAAACGAAATTTGAGCGTTTTTTTGTGCATACCAATATGGTAAACATGTTTATTGAAAGAAAGGCAATGAAAAGCGCATCTGGTCTGAAACAGCATCATCCGAAATGACTTTTCAATATGATATGATAGCAGCTATCTGGTACACCTATCAAATACACTTTGTAAAAATTAATTTTTCTTCATCAGTCAAAAACTATTCATTATATATCGTGACGTAATAAAAGCCAGATTTGAGACATGCGGATATTCATTTCACAGTGTAGAAACAAAGAAATCAAAATTATTTCTCACATATAGGCAGTTGGGCATGGGCAATAGATGTAACACTCATATGAAAGTGCGGTAAATCTAGAGACCACGCGCGATGAAAAATAAATTCCGATTGGAAAATGACAAGAAATAACAACAACAAAAAAAAGGAAAACATAATTCGGGATAATTGTAAACGCGATTTTCCTTCAAGTGATGAAAAAATCAGAATCTCTTTCAGTGGCAAAAACATATAAAGACGATGTGTGTGTTGGAGCGCCTGACGCTATAACACCACTGGAACTAAAGGAACATAGGCTGATATAAAATTATATTAATCTTGTGCTAAAGTTTCTCCTCAGTTATTTCATAAATTATCGTCTTTTTGATCAGGCTTTGTTTTATCTTTATGTTTAGATTGCACTTTTGGGGAATTCAACACGGCACTGTTGGCTTTCCCACCTTCCTTGGTAGTTCCAGGAGTCAACTCAGATCCTGTTTCTGCGATGGGACTTGGAGCCGCCGCCTTCAAATTTTTGGAACGCTTTTCTGGCTTTGATTTTTGCTTTGATGAACCCTAGAATAGAAAAATGTTAGGAGTTATTAAACTTAAAAACTGATTTTAAATAAATTGTGACAAAGAAATTCTCAACAGACAAAAAAATATATTTTAAGTTGCTTAAACTGATTTGTTACTAATAGGAGATTTTGCGCTATGAAACATGGCAAAATTTTCCATATGCGCAAAAGAAATACACAAATAAAAAACGAACAATTTCACATTGAAAGACAAAGATAATTATGTTATAAAATTTGATAATATCTTGCTAGATCGATGCACTAAAATACAGCAGAAACCAATACTTTTTCGAAATCTCACCTTTAGTAGATTAAAAACCTTCGATGAAGTTGATGCATGCTTGGTGGGTATCGGAGTTGCAACAATGTTTTCTTCGTGAATAGTAGTAACTTTATCAGTTTCTGGATTACTCTGATGTCTCTCTAATCCTTTCTTTGTGATAGGAGATTCTTGCGTTTCCTGCTCGTTTCCTGTTTCTGCTTGTTCAGGTACGGCTAATGACGAATCAGTTAGGGATAGTGGGGATGGTGACGAAGCCCGTGCAAGTGGTGAGAGAGGAATGTGGCCGATCGATTTCCGACGAGAGGACGATCTTAAATTGCGCAGTTTATGACCGATTCCTTGCAGGGATCGTGGTCTTGATGCTGATGTAGCACCAATCGGAGTAATTCTGTTTGATGACATTCCCGGACTTTTTGTTCCGTCTATGCGAATGGGTTTTGAAATAATAATGGGAGCAACGGATGTTGTTGCCGGACTTTCGGACAAACTCGGATTTGGACTTGTACTCTGAGATGATACGTTAAAATCTGGTTCCCGAGCACGATGTGGTGGCGATCGGGGTGAGATACTTCGAGTGGGTGATGTTGGCCCACTGTCCCCAGATGATACGGAATTGTGTTGTTTAGGAATTGCATGCAAACTACGGCTTTGAGTCAGAAGTGGAGAGTGGCCTCGTACCTCTGAAAATGAAAATAATATTGGTGAGTTTGGTTTAGTAATCTATAAATTTATGGCTTCACAGTGAAAATAAGCATCCGATCTTTGCAGTGAAGTACTGTACCCTCAGTAACTGGACTGACCAAAGTCCTTAGACTCAACCAGAATGATGGGTATTTGAAAATGCCTTGTTTCGAGGAATATTATATAGAATTTGATAGTAACCTCCTCTAGGTAATATTCTTCTTAGCAACGAGCTTCTTCTCTTCCTGGTGTATTGAAAACCATCAGGAGCGATGGTAACAGAAGAAGATCCTGACCCTCCCTGATTTTTCGAACTAGACGAAACTGATATTCGAGGATAAAACGAAGCTCTTTTCTTGCGGCGTCTCACAAGTTTTCCTTTGCCTTTTTTGTTTCGTTTTCCGACAGTGATGCTCGTGCTTTCAATCGGCATTGCTTGAATAGTAACCTTAAGAAAAATGTCTGCAGGTTAGCAGAAATGTAATAATGCTAAAAAAGAGAGAACTTTGCGATAGACTATTTGTCTAACGCTGGGAATTTTCCAATATGAGAATAGATCGAAGTTTCGAAACCATGGAGAAGTTTACATGAATCAGAAAGAATTATTTGTGAATATAGTAGATTAAACATCCATCATATCATTATCTCACCTTATCTTTGCATTTATACATGATCTCAAGAACATCTGTATGGACAAGACCTTGGACAAATTCGTTGTTAATTTTTGTTATGAGATCTCCAACACGCAACCCTGCTTCGTATGCCGGTCCTTTTTCGTCCACAGACTGTAAAAAAATCACAATTTTAACTAAAATTTACTGTTCATATTGACAACAAAGATTCTGTGAGAATATAATCACATATTGCCATTCAATGTTGTATAGTGTTACAAAATTCTTCAAAAAATAAGTACTTTCAATATTCAGCTAATACACTTGCTATCATTTTGAACTTCATGTTAATTTACTCACCATTACAATATGATGAACTGTGAATGAATTTCCTTTGTTGCCAAAGAACACTGGAGTACCTTGCATTTTAAAACCGAACCCATGTGCAGCACGCTTGATGACGATTTGGGGTTTTGGTGACCCTGGGATAGGTGAGAATGAGCGACCTGGTGAAGACTCGCGAGAACTCGGCATCGATGTCCCAGCAGTAGTGTTACTATAGTTGAAAGCAGTATTGAACGCAAGTGGACTGGCAAGTGGTGAAGGAGGAAGGCTGCCGTCTTCATTCGTTGGGATAACAAGCTGAAAATATATATGGTTGAGTATATATGGTGACTTTTTATGTTTTATAAAAATGCCTGTGTTAGTAATATTCAGTTTATAAAATAATGTTGAATCATCATATTGACGAAATTTTTTGCCCAGTTGAATCCTCATATACCAATATACTCTAAAATGATCAATTTGATAAAAACGATATTGCTATATTGAATTTGAATGTAAAACCATCCCATGCATAATTCAAATTTATTGATAAAAGAGAGGTAAAGTTAGAACTTGAAGAGTTCATTAATCAATATATTAGAAATTTTGGCGCTCCTGAAGTATGTGCACCAAGATGGCGCACAACCTGAACCCTAACCTGCTACACATACTATGTTCAACCCAGGCTTGACTCCAGTCTGATTCCACAGCGCTGATTCAAATGCAATTTAAACCAAATAAAATTGCATAAAAATTTTATATACCTGTAATGACGAGGAGCTCGATGATTTCATGAAACGTTTCAATGATCGAGATCTCTTCAAATCACCACTTAAATGTCGATGTTTCAGATCTGTAATATTACTTAACATAACATGTCTACTTAGTGGTTCTTCAGCTTGAGAACCGTGAGGTGTCCCTGGACTCAGTACTGACATATCAGGGCTTGTATTTCCACTACTATTACTACTTGCGGGACTCGACCTGGAGCTGTGTGCAGGTATAAAAGATGATTGATCCATGATACCTCGCTCTGCTAGCATTTTAGCACCAGCACCAGGTTGAGAAGGTGTCTTGACTGAGTTCACGATGTGATGAGGCATTGACCCAGGAGTGGACGATGATGACAGTCGCCGATATCTGTGCTTATGATGGTGATGGTGAGGATGAGTAGCAGGGGTGTGTAAACGCTGAGTAGGATTGTTCTGTAAGATTTGAGTGGGTGAAACATTCGATAATGCGAGTGGTGAGGGTGTGTTAATCGAATGAGATCGCTCATCTATGGTGCTGGAAACTGATCGAGAAAGGGCTTGCTTCGTGAAAATTGGGCCTACCGGCGTCAGTAATCCTTGACTGTGGGCTGGCTTTGTGAGAGTTTTCCCTGATTTGTTTGGAGTACATTCATTCACCACGAGAGGGCTATCTGCAGACATACTTCGTGATTTCTTGATGCTGCTTAGTGAACCCATTTCTGGTGATTTAGGGCCACCGATATGACCAAGCAGAGAATTACGTGGCAAGGGTGGTGGTGTGATATCAGACAAGGTTTGACATAGTTTTCTGTGACCTGGAATTTCAATTTTCGTTTCTATTTTTGATGGCAGGGGCTTGTTTGCCTTCATTTGATCCTCCACCGAAATTTTAGTACCAGAATCGGCCCGTGAACATGAAAGCGGGCTATTGCCACCACTTTCAACTGAACTTTCCGAACTCGTACTGCGATGGAAAGATGGAAGTGGCGATTTAGAATCAGAAGCCTCACTCCCAGAGCTGCTTATACTCGACGTTCTATCATTCTTTTTATTCAGTTCTGTGATATCATCATTTCCAATAGAATTGATGACATCATCACCAATTTTGTTATTTTCTTTTGTAGATTTGTCAGACTTCGCAACCTCAACTTTTACTTCACTTTCTGTTGCAGAAAGACATTCACTTTCAGATTCGCCAGAGATGAAAAACTTTGGAACGTCGCTAACACGAGAACTGGATACGGAAACACCCGATAGCGGTGGAGATTCACATTCGTGTGCAGAGATAGATGATCTTGCAGTTAGTGGTGGAGAAGCATCACTGTCGTTCGATGACTCTTGTGAGGTACGACGATGTCTGTCAAAATATAAAGAAATATAACATTAAGTTGTTAATATGGCTCAGAAGTTGGCACACCTTGCTGCTAAGCGCCATGGATTGGTAACTATATTAGAGGTTAAAGTTGGGCATATGATTTAGCTGCCTTAATCGCTTCTTTTTCCCTTGGAATAAATATGAAATTCCAATCCTATCCATAGTATATTGCAGAACAAAACTTACGCATTTGATAGTAAATGAAACTTTGTTTTATCATCGTTCAATGATTTCCTCGGAGTCTGGAACGTCTGAAAAAAAATAACAAAAAAATTAAGCTCGCATCATACCGAATCAGAAAAAAGCAACAATACTAAATACACACTTGTGAATATCTTTTTGTGCTAGATGTGAAATTTGCAAGTTGAATGATTTCTTCGTCCGCTGTCTCGTCATCGGAATTTCCAATATCATGACAATATCGCTCACTACGATCTAAAACAGTTTGTTTGTAAAGTTAAAATTGTAGCATGTTATAGTTTTATCAAGGCAACTGAAGTACAAATTTGAATATATCAATATTGTTTCAATGATACTTTATGATGTATTTTAATAAAATTTACACTTGTGTGAAATCATCATTAGACAATCTTACCACACAGACACCCATACCTAACGATATGCAAGAAGCTAATGTTAGTTGGAAGGATTGAAATCATTCCAGTTTGAAATTGTCTACCCATTTTTATTACATCCTTTGTAAGATGGGAGCATGGCAATCCCTTATAACAAATTATTTTGTTTAGAAAACTCAAAATTTTGCAAACGAACTTACTGTCAAAATAGCTTGTGTCTTCATCATCGTCTAAAGATGGAATAAATTGAGCTTTCTGTCTCAAAAGACTTGTCCAATCCAAGTTTATAAAAAAATTATGTTCTTTCACCTACAAAAAATCATTACATTTTAACCATCCGCCATAGTGATACGAGAGTAAATATTGAGAAAATATATTGATGCTTTTTTGCATTTAACAATATTAGCATAATCAGTGTAAAAATTAATATAACTAATTGAATAACACAAAGTTTCACTCCTTTCATCAGTTACAATCACAGGTGACTATTTGAAGAAACTTGATGAGTGATTCCACTCAAAGTTGAAAAGTCATTCTCTCACAGTTGAGTTTAATAGCCATATAATAAAGGAGATATACTAGATATACTAAGCATAACTTTGTTAAATGTCTTTACACGCCTACTATCTTCACTTCACAAACTTATACAAAAAATCATGAAACTATGAAGATTTGTGCAAATAAGAATATAATAATATACCTCTAGTGCGCCTTGTGTTCCGAGTCGTCTTTCAGGCTCACGATCTAGTAATTGTGAAATTAAATCAACGACATCTTCTGGCAGGCATTCATCACCCTCAGGCCAAACAATCTCCTCTGTAGAAAAAATTTTCAATTTGAGTTTTCTCCAAAGTGTACGAATTTAAAAAACACATAATATGTTATGGTGTGTTATTCAAGATTCTTGCTGCACGATTACACAAATGTGGATTATGCAAGAAGATTGCGGAATTATAATATAGTATATTATCTTTATTTCTGCTACAACATCTTTGCATTATATTCATATGGATCCACTAGCGTGAAGATATAGAATAGAGAGTTGGTCTGGTGCAGTGGTCAGCAAACTTTATGTTCTACTAGGTCAAATATACACATTTCCGGTAGCGTGAAGCCGCATTATCTGCTGCCTACAAACAATCGCCACATTAAACTTCAAATTATGATGTGCCCGCAACTTTTATTTCTGTGTTAATTACAACTAACGGTTGGCCCGTCAGGCTGATTATTACAAAACAAACGTCATACAACAGTCATTGTTATGACATATGTCCGTGCGCAGATAATAATGAATTTAAAAGAAACTTTTGTTTGTTCTATATTCCGTCCATGCATTAAAAGTGAAGTCGTTCGAGAGCCACAAAAATTAATTACGGACGCATCAGAGCCATAGGCCGCAGTTAACCGGCCACTGGTCTAGCGTAAGCCCAACTCATAGTTGTACTATAATATGGTGCAAATTACATCACAAGAAGTATTTACAATTGAGTGAGAATCGCACTGAACGATAATAATTACCAATGGTGATTGTCTGATAACTATCGAAGATATTAAAATATCAATAAAGTGCTTTGAGGAAGCGTTCAAATACAAGAAATAAAAAGTAATATCCTACCACTTATAACTTGAGTGAACAGCTCATCTGGAGTATCTCCGAAAAATGGCACGCAACCGACTACAAATTCATATAGGCATATTCCTGCTGACCACCAATCGACTGGAGGTCCATATCCTTGATGCATGATTACTTCAGGGGCAATGTATTCCGGTGTGCCACGGATTTGACGATCCATGAACACGGTTTCGTATGTATTAGTAGTCAAAGACATCAAGCCAACTTTTGAAAGTCCAAAATCAGTAAGTTTAATGTGTCCCATGGAGGTAATTAGTAAGCTAAAATGGAAATGTAATATGATTAGATATGTTTGGCTGGGTCATGTGATAGGGCTACCCACACTGCATTCAATGTTCATAGTAACTTAAGATCAGGATGTGACCTTAGTTACGATGGATACAACAGACCCAGTAGGAAAGATATTCGAGTACTGTATCACGAACATGACGATCATTGAATATGCTTCATCAATATTTTCCTTTATACACATTTGCTATAAACAAGGCACTGTACGAGCAGTCAACCTTTCTGGTTCGGCATTGCCTGTCCAATTTATTACACCCTGGGTGAGATGGTGGGCATGAAAACTGCTTAATGCTTTAACCATTAGACTGCTACAGCCACTAATGTTTTGAAATGAGAATTTTTTGCTTTTCCCATAATTACACATAGTAATCATATTATAATCTCATGATAATATATAGAATGTATATAAATGGAAATCACTTACTTGTCAGGCTTTAGGTCTCGATGAACCACACCATAGTTATGTAGATATTCCAGTGCCATTATAGTTTCAGCAAAGTACATTTGAGCCAACTCAATGGGAAGGGGTCCAATATTTTTAATAAGTGTTGACACATCTCCTCCCTCTACATATTCCATCACCATACACAAGTGACGTTTAGTTTGAAAAGAACAATACATTGTTACAACAAAAGGATTTTCTACGAATGTTAGAATGTCCCGTTCTGCGAATACCTGTAGAAAAAGTATGAAATGATGTTAAATTGTGTGTGGCAGCACAAAGTATGGAAAGTGATTGACTAGGCAGGGTATTCAAAAGAACTTTGATGTGCTTCATTCAACTGACTTTGGCCATATAAAGGTGTATTGAATGAATTGAAAGAACCTTAATGAACACTGAATAAATCACAACAAACCTGGTTAAGATATATTGAGAACTGACTTCATAAATTATTGAACACCCTGTATTTAAATGTTACTATATTCTTGCAACTAGTCAATGCAATGGACATCACTCGGAAAAACTGGAGCTATATCTTGGTTTTTAACCTTTTTACATTAATCCACAGACAGAAAACATAAAATTATTTGGATAAGCTAAGCTGGTACAATACATCCAATCAATAAATTTAGGTATGTACATTCATGAATTCAATGTATCTACTAATTACACAAAAACATGAATTATTGTAGCCCATATAAATTGAATGTTCTAAGCCCAATTTTTCTTCATTTAACACTATCAAAATTCAAACTTTGAAACCAAATCAAACCTGTTCAATCTGGTTTCGTAAAGCCAAGTTTTGTTTGTTAATTTTCTTCATTGCAAATCTTTGTTTAGTTTCTTTATGACGCACAAGATACACCGCTCTGTAAAAAATAACAATAATTCCAATATAAATTGTGCAATGTGATTTTGAATAGGTTTTTATATGAGCTCGTGGTTTAGTGGTTTAAAGCGTCAGAATTAATTTTGCATCAAGTAAAATCTTGGGTTCAATTCCCATTACCACCTCAACCGAGGAGTTATAATTTGGGTATTTAATACGGACTGTAAAAATTTCGGTCCTTTCAAAATACAGCTCATTACTTGTCACTGAGTGTGAGCGTGCAAAGCCTGAGTGTGCAGAGCCTTGTTAAGAGCAAAAGGCATATAAATTAGCATCATGGGCCCTCAACTTACCCATATGCTCCATTGCTGATTAACTTGCTAATTACAAAGTCATCTTCAGACACAATCATTCGATCTCGATTTTGATCTCGGCCTTTCCCCTCCGCATCGCTCTCACTCTCACTCGAAGATGATTTATGTTTTGACAGAGATTTCATTTCTTCAACAGGATCTTTGTTAAGACCAAGTTGTTGGACGATATATCTTGGAATGTCTGTTTCTATACAATGCTTTCCTTCTTTCGCCACAAATTCCGCAGATTCCAATAGCAAATAAAATTCCTCTGGATTGAATTCCTGAAATTTGAGGTAAATTTTTGCCCATATTAAATAAAGATATAAAAATAATTGAATAAACAATTCTCCTCATTAAGGGAAACTTTTGATAAAAGTTGTGAGGTTTTGATATTCTTAGAACATATACTTACCAAGCATTCGAGAAGTCTAGCTGGACGAGCAACAATCATCAAAAGTTTTCGAATTAATTTCACAATACTCCCTCCTCCATTCGTCGATTTTTCCTGAGCCTGTTGAAAAGAATTAATTAGGATTTATTAATTAATTACCCATTTAATGATATTAATTAAATATTCAGTTTAAAATAAATAACATACATCGACCATCAACATTTCAAGTTTTTCTGATAGCTCATAAAAATAATTTGCAGTGATGAGGCCATCTTGCGATTTTCCGAGGCATGCACGAGCCATTTCATATACTTGGTGGTGCACGAAACTCCAAGTTGCATCTGCCACAGGTTTTTGCTGGTCCGATGAGCACGAATCGATGAAATCCTTTGATAAAAAGATAAGCAATGGTCGATTTGTCACTAAATAGCGTGAAATTATTCAAAATTAGCGTGAAAGCTGGGGAAATGGGAAAATTGGAAAACTATTTTTAATCAATTAATCAAACATTAAACACAAATAAATTATAATTCTACAAATATAAACTGGTTGAATTTGAATAACATCAACTCAAGCATAGTCCATGAGAATGACATTTTCCATGTATAAGTAATATTAACAAGATAAAATTCTTGTTCAAATTAAGTAAAGAGATGTTCACAGAATAATCGAATTGATGAAAACCAAATGAATTTCTAACAATTTGAATATTTCAAATTAGAAAGAGCTTTTCTTCCAAAGATCTAATAAAGCTAGTTCGAATGTAACACAGCATAACAAAAGGTTTTTATCATGCGGGAGAATTTCATAAAAGGAAATCAATTTGCACATAAGGCAGTTTTTGAATGAACCTTAAGATCACAAAAATGAAATTGATTTTGCGATATAAATTAAAGTGCAAAAAGATTGAAAAAAGTTGAATTTTTTCACAAGATGATGAGAATTTTAAAATGTTTGGTAAACTAACACATTAACCATGAACCATAATGTATTTTATGTGCCAATACCAAATTCAACGATCCAATAATACAACAACCGAATGTGCAATATATTTTATAGGCTTTAGTTTATAAATAATAATAAAGTAAGGAGGTACAAAACTTTCATGTGTGAGAAAAGACTTAATAAAAATTCACCATCAATTCCCTAAAAAAGATATTATAAAACATACTTTCAATTTTTCTTCCATTTCAGCTTTGGCGTTTGGAAATCTTTCTCTGTATACATTATTCATCATAATCACTTCAGAATCAACTGCAGGAGACATCATCCTTCCTGGGCTTAGACTGCGAGATCGAGGTCGATAGGGGCTCCGTCGACCTTCACAGAATTGATATCGTGTCAGATATTCTATTACAATGAGATACCAAACAAATATGTATAACAATAGTGTAATTAACTATAAGGCATATATGCATAATGAAGCATTTTTCTAGGTTGATTGACCGCTCAAAATATTGACGAATACCATTCTTGCAAAATCGAGTGCTTAAACCTAAAAGGGCAAAACTGAAAAAAGTTGCTACATTTTACTTTTCATTGTGCAGTGTATATGGATAAAAATATGATTTAGTACCAGCTTAAAGAGCCCCTATTTCTTTTAAAACTTTCAAATGAATTTTTCTCAAAATTTCAACATTAACTCTTTTTCTTTGAAACCCAGGAATGTTAAATAAATAAGCAGTTGAAATTGTAAAGTTAATGAAACGATAAACAAACAAAACAATTTCACAACTTTCATTAGAACAAGGCTTTGTAAAATTTGCAATTCAGTGACCACTAGAAATGAAGGATCTCACAAAATAGTTATGTTATTAAAATAATCAAGACCAAGACAATACCTGATTCATCTTCATTTATACTTTCATTTGAATGGAATTGATTTGATAAAAAGTGGATATCCTCTTGAGTAGGTTGATATGGCAGTTGGTGCAGTCCTTCCTATAATAGATAACAACACATTGCTTATATCTTATATTTATAACTATAGATGTACAGGGTGATCCCAGAAAAAAAAAAACAGAACCCAGGCCACTTGGATCATATTCTGAAGATAACATTACTGAAACTTCTGGATAAAATCGATACACAAAACAAGTTTCTTCATATGGAAGTAATTGAAAAATTTATGGGTGCTGTTTTTGGGGCACCCTATAGGTATGTTTGTCCAACTACCATATATATATTTTGTGACAAGATTTGGAAACAACTATTGCTCGCAAGGGTACCAACCTGAGAAGAACAGGCAGAAGAAGACAATGTTGAAGATGGTGTATTTGTGCCGTAACCACTTGATGGTAGGGATGCCACTGACCATCGCCTTCCTTCCAATACAGATACAGCAGGGGCGCCAGAAGATCGTGTTTTTACCATGGAACTTTGTATTATTCCAGCAGCAGAGTTGAATGAAAAATGAGCTGCATTATTTGGTGAAACGTTCCGAGGACTGTCCATCGGGCTGCATACTGTGAAAAATATCAATTTACACATTAAAGTTACGTAGGTTATCAGTTTAGTAGTTTTATTATGCACTAGTACAGTATCTTTTCTTTTGAACAAAAACTATTCAAAATAGAATAAATTGAATTGCAAGAAGATAACGGTATTTCAATTCCTAGCATAGTTCCATTTCTGGTTTAAAATTAATTTCAATTCAATTCTAAAGAAGGCAGTTTTGGATAAAGAACATCATTGCCACAATTTTTTATTTTCTAATCCTTAGCCAAATTGGTATCCATATTAAGAATAAATGGAGAAATTGTCTCAAAAACATGGATCAAATTATAAAATTCACGAGAGACATTTTAAAGATAGGAAAAATCAATAAGTTTTATATTTTATCATGCTCGGTAGCTCGTTCATGAAATCATCAAATCAAAACATCACATGGAAATATTTCTGTTTGGTGACTGAACAAATAAAACCACCCTCTACCAAAAATAATATACTTATGTAATACTCCGGAACGAAATAATATTACATGTTCATTCAATTTGGATGATCAAGCAACCAATGTCAATATAAAACCATTTAAAAATATATATTCATTCCCATTAGTGCATAATGGTTTCCAGTTTATTAAATCATTTGCAAGAATAGAAACTGATAATGAAATCCCATGATAATTTAATTATAAGAATTTTTATTTCTCATAATTCCATGACCAATGTCGGATTAAATGTAAGGAGAATGATTATTATGAGCGTTCTTGCAGCTCTACTCTAAACAAGCCTCTGTGTAATTGGAAAGTCAACAAATTCATTTTTTTTTAGGGTAGGGGCCATAGAATTCAACACGGAAAGTCTTACGCTTTGACCACTTTATCCTGTTTTACACGGAAACAAATATTTTAGATATTATAATAAATTAAATTGGTACTCCTGTAGTATGTGAACCAAGATGGCGGAAACGGAACGTAATATGTGTACCAGGTTAGGGTTAGGCCATAATTCCAGGTACAACTACTACGACAGTCACTTGGCTAGTCCCCGGACTCGTATTAGGACTAAAATAAGGAAAGTTTGAATAGAATTATGGCCTAACCCTAACCTGGTACACATACCACTGGAGTACCAGTAAATTTCCCTATCCTATGTATCGAGATATTTAGTAGAATCCTAGAAATTGTACCTTGAGCGGATAGTCCTGGTGAATGGGGCCTGGGTAATGTGGGTGAAGTGCTTGAAAGCCCAATGAGACTGCGACGGTTTGATGAATTTCTTGTCCTGTTAAAAATAAGAATATGAATTGAGATTTTATTTGGTAAAAATTTTCATTTGTGAATCATTGCATAACAATATATAGCATAATGCAGTGAGATCTGTAAATAATTTAATTTCATCCATGGTAAATTGAGTCTATTAAAAAATCTTTTTCCTGAGTTTAGGTAATCAATATCACATATCTTCCATTTTAAAATTAAAGTGTTTAAATTGGCCTATTTCCTGATTTTGCCTCAGAAAATATTTATTTAGAATATGTAAATTATAAATTAACTGCATAAGTTGGATTATGAAATACATAAATTGCTAGATGCAAAAAAAATGAAAAACTATCGTAAAATGAATTTGAATATAACAGAATAAAAGCTTATGTAAGGTATCAATATCACACTACATTACATTATCTCAATCTGATTAGTCACTTTGATTTCTTAGATAATGATTGAATAAAATGATAATATTGTCAAGACGGGAAGCAAGACATGGATATCTGAAATATTAGATCCCCATATTATGAAAATTCAATTATAAGGTGAAAAAAACAGAACTACAGCGTCCATGAATTTCTTAATTAAAAAATTATTTAACACTTCTGTAGTCCACTGAACTTTTATGTTTGTGTATGATTGTACCAAAAAGTTTCAGTAATCTAGGATGCTTTTCTCAAAAGTTAAGTTCATCCAGAATATGTTCCAAATGACCCGGACTATGTTTCTATTTGAGTCACCCTGTATCTGTGTATTAATTACAACCAAATGCAATGTAACATGATTCAAATGTCATTTAATTACACAGGAAACTTTCACAATTCATATCCCATACCATCTGCAAATTTATAAAATTCAGAAAAGCATTCTCAATTTTGTCTAAACACAGCGATACATCCAAAAAAGCAAAAGTAATGAATAATAGAAAGCCATACCAGACTATAATTAACCTTTAACTTTAATTCAATCAAGTATGAGCTATAGATAATCCATACTAATCAGGTACAATTTATCTAAGGCCAATGCTTGAATGAAGACAACTGAGACAATTTTACACTATTTGGAAAACTCATTCATAATACATTTGTGACTACTCTGTTACTGTGGCAACCGAAGAGCTTTAATGCATTACATAGAGTCAAATGTCATTCTCAAGTCTCAATTTTAAAAATTAATCCCCCCTAACCCATTCAAGGTTAAGTAATATGTCTGCCAAAGAATATTCTGTATTATCATAGTAACAACACATCTGTGCTTTTATGAGTTGTGACAAAATCAATTTAGAAAGGCCCCTATAGCATAGTTAAAATGCCAATCTAAATTGACAGCAATAGATTTCTTAAACTGACTGATTACTGTTCAATATATACTTCTAAATGATGTAAATTTGCGTGTAAATCGTGATTGATGTGGAGTGTTTTCAATATGCATTCTAGATAAATAATATAAATTTTAATGCAAATGATGATTTCTTTAATGGTAATTGGTAACACAAGGATAGGATTCATATTTATCCACGGGGCTGGGGGAGGGAAAAACCATTTGGAAAAACACGGCCTTTCGTCTGGTTACTAACAGCAGGCATAGTTGTAACCAACCAACAAACGGTTACATGAACCACCATCGGATGACAAGGAATCCTCTCACATGATTTTCCCCCACTGAATTTGAACCGACACTGGACAAACAGAGGTACAATGGTAAGCGTAATTCAAACGCTTAGCATGATGCACCAACTGCCAACCGAAAAAAAAGGCAAGCCACATACTTTCGTTTAAAACTATCATAGATCACTTTGAATACAGGGAAAAATTATGATCACATTATAATTTCCAAGCCCTACATTTTTTGTGATAGTCCACTACTGAAAGCATTCAGCTCCATTTATGCAATTGAATTTAAATGAAAGAGGATCATGATAATTTCAAGTCACTTCAAAAATAAATTTCAAGGCAGCCATGTTTACAGCAGCAAATATTTTGATCGGGCAGTTCAGTGAATTTAAGTTCGTAAAATTTTTTCTAGACCTAATATATGTTACTCTAGCAGTAGCATTACTGAAGCGTTGAGGCACAATCATACATAAACAATAATTCAAGTGTTAAAAAAATTTTCCTCATTTTATAATATTTATAATATTTATATTATAATATTTATAGTATTTAATAAGAAATTTATGGGTGCTGTTTTTTCGGGTCACCCCATAGACAGTATTCTCTTACATAACACTGGTTGCTTTACTCCTTGTTTAAAGTAAAGGTATCAAAAAAGCTTATGACAAAATATCATAAATCACATGAAAAAGAAACAGGTAGCCCCATCTGGGAAGAACAGTCTATCTAAAAAGAACTAAAGAATGAAGGTATAGAACTCCTATATAGAATACTTACTCTGTTTCAGGGGAAGATGAGTGAAGGTTTAGAAATTTTATTAAATGGTATTTCATTTTGAATTTTCAGAAATTCTACTTAATCCATCCATAAAAGGTTTATAATACTAGCCATCAAACACGCCCTGCTTTTACATATAGAATTGTCATCAGACCTTTTTCAACCACAATGGAACATTTTCATGCTATCTCAAAGCACTTAACAGGCAATAATTAAATAAAATTCTCCTGCTTAAAAAGGAGTTACAACAAAGATAGTATTTCTATATCACAAAATAAGATTAATTACTTTTGTTAGCATTATATTAGCTGGATTATTCAAAAAACAGTGCTTTAATCAGAGTATACTCAAACATACAAAACTACTCTGCCCCAAGGAACAAATTAAAAGCAAGTATTTGTAATATTAATATCTATCTAATTTAAATGTTAGAATATTTCTGGATAGAAAACATGGGAATTAAATTGATACCTGTATTCTGTAACTATATTCATGGTTTGCCTAAAAATTCATTACAAAAAAGAGGCCAACAGAAGTAAATTTAAAATAATCTAAACTGAAAAATTTCACCAAAATCACAACTAAATGAAGAAGAGACATATTTTATGCTGAAGTTATCTAGCCAAGAGCGAACTATTTATGTAGCCTACATAAGAGGTATAGTTAAAAGTATCAACTAACATCACTATATATATATATATATATATCAATGTACTATAACCTAACACACACTTTCTTGGCAACCAACAAAACAGATTTTTATAGAAATCCGCACTGATGGGTCGTAAAGAAGCTTGCGCACGTTCGTTATATTGCCTTGACCGCATTTTGAAGGAGTGGCCATAAACAATTAATAAAAGCCTTTGAAACGCGTTGCGATTTTAGCACACTTCGGTAAAATGTACACCATGCTTTCAAAAGCCTATCCCAGCGGAATGAAAGCACTGATATGCCCTTCGGTTTTCGATTATACGCTTCATAATGGTTCTATTGTGTTTATGCGAGGCAAGACCGTTTTGCCGTGGGCGCAAACGACGTTGAAAAGGCCTAGAAAATCAATCAATAATATCCGTGAAACACGAGCGTGCTGAGAGAACTTGTGATTTATCGAGTGGCCTGTCCAAATTTGATAATAAACTACCAACTCAAAGAGTATAGCTACCGATCAAGAAGTTCTCATATTAAACCAATTCAGAATTCATAAATCTTTTGAGAATTTTAAAACACCAAAACTACCTAACATCATGCGCACAAATCCTGCTAATAACACGACGGCCTAAAATATGGGTCATAGTGCCCGAACGCAATTGATTTATAATATCGAAGAAATAGTCAAATTACAGTCGGAGAGGCTGAAACATAAGCGCTAAAACTTTTAAATAATGTATGCGGAATAAATCTCACACAAATTCACAGCACGTAAAATGTTGCAGCGATTGAAAAATTCTATCATAGCGTCGTTGTATCACTAAGGAAAACATGATATCATAAACGCAAATAGTTAAAAATGTTGTCATTAAATTGAAAATTCTGCTACCCACTAATCAGAAAACAGAGTGATATGGAGAACTGGTAGGTCAACTTCTGACACATTGTTACTAACGACACAACCTGATTAGCGATGATGTAATACATATTTCCCAGTATGTGACTTATATCCGTCTTGAATAAAATAGTTTTATAAAAACGAATAGCGGCAAGTGGTAGCGACAAAACAGGCCCGGTAAGGTTGGCACAGAGCGGATAGCAACAAAAGAAACATCAGTGGAAAAACATGAAAATTGAGGTATGGAAAAAAGGCGTGTTGTGCAATTAGTTCTACTTTAAGTGTATATGTTGAAGGTTAGAGGCGTGTTTGACGGAATCCGCTTACCTACACAAAATGTGAGGGTCGTGCAATATTCATCAGTACAATTTATCTTTATCTGTTCTTAACTGCATAAGACAAAAACGACTAGCTTTTTCATTAAAACGCAATGCTTTTAAATACAATTCTACACTGCTATGCTCACATATTTCACCAATTTCTAAAATGCCCAGTCCCAGTGCATATTTCCTTAGAGATGGTGTATCGAAACAGCACGCAACAGGTTACTGCAACGGCTACTCGTCTTACATAAATAGAAGGCAGTTTCCCTGAAATTTCAGGTATTTGACATTTCAACGATTTTACATTTCCGCGTGTGACGTAAGTAATTAGCAATCTGACTCAAAAATTAGATTTTAAAGTTACTCATATGTTTTGCGCAGTAGGCATACAATCAGAATATCCAATTATGAACTTGATAAGAAGACTACTATAGGCAAACAGGATAATAAGACATTCCAATTGATTACACATAGGCTTAAACAATCCTACAACGCGACATAATACTCCGTCCATCCGTTTTCAAATACGTTGTACGTCGCGCCGCATATTTCCTGCCTACTCCACGATCAACGAGCATCAATGTTATTGTTCCTGCAGTAAAATACATTCTTATATTCACGTACGAGGTTATAGGGCGGATTAGCAGTAATAAAAACAACTTTAATGCGATTAAGAACTCAAGAATGGTCAACGAAAATGACTTGCCACAAAATTTGACCACTGACCTTATTTATCCCCACATGACGCATGACATAT